ATGTACGTACACAAATATTTACACATAAATGTATGTATGTATTTATATACGTTTACCCAAATAAATGTCACCTGACCTGTGGAGTTAAATATTATCTATGGAGGCCACTTGTTGAATTTACATTCTGTGTTAACATATTTTATATGTCAAATTTGTTTTGACAACATACAGCATTTTTTGATGGTCATATTTGTGTGTGTAATGCTTCCGTTTCACTTTGCTGCCATTTTGTGGCTTGTGGCAAAACATAAATTGACCTTTTTCTACCTTTTTTTAATAGCTCAGCCAACAAGTGCAAGATTGTGTTCGAAATATTTGCTCAACACTTCATCATAACTTCTATATATATTTTGCCACCACCACCTCATTTTCCCTGACCCCTTTTTCTTCGATCGATCTTACTTACAAGTTTTCTCACTTTGACAGGCTTGTTTTCTGTTGTAAAACTTGGTAAAACTTTAGTGTGAAAAACTTTTGCTAAGCTATTGAAAAATCTCCAAAGCTATTCGCATACATGTGCATATGACATGTATACATTTACATACATATACACTAGGTGTCAAAATTATAAGCGCACCACGTATTGACATGCTTTAACAATTTATTAAATTTTAACTATTTTTATAAAAATGTTATTTATTCTTTAACAAAAATCGTACGATTCCAAGTTACAAACTTTCTGCAATATGTATATAAAAAAATTTAATACCTACTTTTTGGTAAAAATTTCAAATACTTTTATAAGATTTCTTAGAAGAATTCTGAGTATGCATTTTGAAGCAGCTTAGACTTGCCCTTGATTTTTGACAACCTGGTTTTTTTGTTGGTGGTGTTGCTTATTTTCTTACATCTAAATAAATGGTTGAACATACAGTATCGGTCATATCATTAAATATTCATTAATGTTAAAAAATTTTTAATTAAAATCAGTTTATTTTCTATATAAAAATAATTGTGCTTATTCTTGATACTAAAGCAAATGCGACAAAAAATCAAAAAAATAAACAACAATTTTTATCAAAGTTTGTTGAATAATGCACAAAATTGAAATTTGTATTTATATGGTTTTTGTTAAAGAATGAACTACATTTTTATAAAAACTTATTGAAATTGAATAACAAAAAAATTAATTCTTAAAATTTTTATTTTTGATGCGGAGTGTGTACTAATATAAGAGCATGTATACATAAAAATGTATGCATTTGTTTGAAAATAAGATTTCCTAGCTTGTTGTACATTAGTATTTTGTTCGCAAAGTTCAATTTAGTTATATCAAAGGCTATCAACATTCTATAAATTTTTTATGATGTGTTATGTATATTGCAATAACAAAGTTGATTTATTGTGTATGTGCTTGCAAATATTTTATGTGTACAAATGCATAAACAAACAAACATACGTACATACATAAATAAATATGTGTGTGTTTGTTCTGCGCATAAAGTGTGACGATAAATCACTTGAGTGAGAGACAGTAAATAAATTATGAAAACTGAAATTGCCTGCAACATTGTAATCAGCGTAGTAACTAAATATTTGTAAGAGTGTGCGAGTCCTTGTTTACACATATATTTATGCATATATACATACATATGTATGCATATATATATACATTTTTGGTAGTGGAACAGTGTCGGTGAATTGAATGATGGCGTGTAAAAGTAATCTGCAAATAAATGTGTGCCTTTTCCACCAAATCAATGTCGACCTAACCTAATCCTGCCATGATAGATGTGTTAACTCCAACAAATTTTATTGAAGATACATTTGTTTCATCTAAATTATAGTATTGCATTCGCATAGCTCACATTCAATCAATTTCACAAATAAATAGGTACGAACTTACTTACCTTCGTACATTTAATTTAATGTGAAACGTGACCGTTGTAATCACGCGTTCCACACCTTGTCAAATATTACACCACATATCACAACCTGAACGTCAAGCTGAGCAATTTTAATCCTCGCAACATTCTAATAACCTTTGGCAAAATAACAAAAGTTGACAAACTGTTTTACCCGTAGCAAAAGTTGAACTATGCCATTCAAAGCTAGCAATAAAAGTTTTATTTATGGACATATGTACATACATACATTTGTATGTACACAGGAGTCATATACATACAAACAAAAATTATATGTCTATACATACGACTAAATATANTATTTTAACTACATTGCATTTGAGTATGGAGAGGCAACTATCTGGAAGTATTTTACATAAAAAATTTACTAAGTATTGCCCGGTTTGTAGTTGCAGTTAAAGAAAACACATGAAAAGGCACGATTTTTTTTAAATTCGAAAAAATGTAAATATTTCAAAAACGGTGACACTTTTACCTGAAAATTTTTTGTTTATCAGTGAGCTCACCCCCCCACCTACCTTGCCCTAAAGTTTGGCACGTTACTTCTGGGACACCCTGTATATGTATAGAATGGAGATGTTTTAATAGTGCACTACACTTGAAAATTCAGATATTTTCTAATTCCCTGTTAATGAATTGGGGCACGTTTTTTAACCCTTAAGTACTGAATTAAAGAAAACCATGGTTTTTGGTATCCTATAACTGCGATTAATTAAGGGTATATATCATTTTTGAACCCATTATAGTCTCTTTACGACCACCTTCTGGCGGCGTCTGGACCCACAAAAAAGGGCAGAGCACACAATTTTACTGGCTTAATTGGATCCATCTTTTCCCCATCTGTAAAACACTTGCCGAAGTTGTAACCCAGATCTCTGAAGCTGGAAAACAGCAAGAACAGAAGAGTTGTATTTTCGCAATCGCATTCGCAATTAACGGCGACAGTTTTGAGTGTGCAGTTTTGTGACCCATTAAATTTAAGTAAAATAAAGTACAAGTTTAAGCAAGTGCAAGCTGGCACTTACGGTTGATTTTTGGATTTTTTTTTGTTGAAGGTGTTGCTTATTTTCTTCATAAAATCGAACATACTTCGTATGGAAAAAAATAACTGGCACTGTCAACAAAAAACAAATCTCAAAAATCAACGGTAAGTCCTAGCTACTTCAAGCTTGCACTTTGTAAAACTAAAATTGACTGGGATATAAAACTGCATGCTCAAAATCTTTCTATAAACTCTACTTAAAAAGCCCGAAATTTACCAAACGCCTTACTGGATCCGTCATTTCGAATTTTGCCATTCTGACAGCGGATTCGTAATCAGCGACCTCGAAAACCCCCTAGTAGGAAATTTCGAATAATTTCTTTAATCCTTAGGATTTTGGCCGCACTGTTCGGCGTGAAGTTGATAAGGTGAATGCATCAACTCTTATGCAGAATGTGGTCCGATGAACGCATGTCCGACGACTGGAAATTAAGTGTGCTCTGACCACACAATAATGGTGACCGAGTGATGCTTTCCAACAATTGCTAGAACGTCCGCCGCTTGGAACGTCTTTTCGAACATATTTTGTGAAATTAGCACCTTCAGCCTTTGGCCTTTTCAATACGGGTCTGGGCCTGGTAAATCCAACATAGGCCAGGTATTCACCTACGACAAGCATTGGTAAATGCTCTGGGGAGCAGAACCTACACTCATCATATCTTTCTCGATTTTTAATCCGCTTTCCACGGCACGAAGGCAGCTGCCGCAACGCCTGTTCGGCATTTTTCAAATTGTATATGGAGGCAAAACAATAAAGCAGTCGAATGTGTGCTCAACTGTTTGATGTCGGTAAGGGTGGTAAGCATCTACTACCACAAATGAACGGCAGCCATTTCTCATTCTCGGTGAACTCAAAATGAGTCGAGGAATGCCTGATCTATCTATCGGTTATAGCGGAATATTTCCATCCAAGAAGCATATACCACATGCTACAATGATATTGCAGATAACTGCATAGCGGATGAATGACTAGAATAGGTACCCTCAAGAGACCTTCATCGAGTTTAAAGTACCTTTAACTGTTTGCAGAATGTACGCGGAGGGCTAATTTATAGTGGAGAGAGGGCAACTTAAGTAAAATCGAAATATATCAGGCCCATGAGTCTTACTTCATTTGCTCTAAAATCACTTTGCAAAGATGAGTATGTGTATGTTCGGCGGAATCTAAAAAATTACAACATCTCTACGAGCCAACAGTGCTGCACAGCGCAGGCAGAGCTCCAAATCTAAAATATAAAATATAAAATATAAAATATCCAAATATGCCAAATTTCGAACGGCTATCAGGCTAAGTGCAATCCTGTTGTAGAGATATCTCAGATTCGGACGCGCAAGCATCCTGGAAACTCTATCGAATAATCTAAGAAGACACCTTGGTTTACTCTCTTTAAAAATCTAATTCTCCTTAAGGAATCCAGAGACGGACGCATCTGAATGTTCCTTTTTTAGGGTCCCTGGCAATTGCATGGCTGAGGAATTAACAACTAAAGTTACGAAAATGGCAGCGTTCAATTCTGAGTGTCTAAACTTTAGCAAACACAGATTGAAGAATGGACTCTTCGGAGAAGGTAAATATCATGTGAATCGTGGAACCCACTTGTCAGACTATCAAACAAAATTCGCCAAAAATTTATGAAAAGCGTCCTGAAGCTCTCACTCGGCTTGAATTAGGCCGACACTGTGAAAAAGCCTTTAAAATCCTATCTGAATAATACTGTCACAGAGAGGGATAATTTGGAATCAACTCAATACCTTTTCCTAGGCTAATTCGGTCCTCGATATACAAACAGTTCATCGACATTAAAATGTGTTTTTTTAGTGCATTTTAAAAGCAACTAATTTGAATGCAAATCTTTGCAATACTAGTTCTTTCAAGTAATTGCAACCCTGTATACTCCAAATGTTTGCTATTTATTATTACAGCTGTTAGTTGAGTTATTGCTGTTGTTGTTAGTTAGAGGCAAAGTTTTGCATACAAAAGCTCATTCACATACACTCGCATGCAATTTTAATGAAGTGAACAACCGTAAAACAACTCCAACTTAATATCCGTAGTGGTAGCAACAACAATAAAAACTACAAAGTATAACTCCATGAGCACACGAACGAACCGAAATGCATATCCGGAAACTTTTTATGCAAAAATATGTACATACATACATACGTATCNCAACAAGAATAACAACAACCAAACGGGCGATGGACGTGTGGGAGGCGGTATTGGTGATGTGGTCGGCGGTAGCGTAAATGCCGCTTGCACTGGTGGCTTTCTGGCGAATGTTGAACAAATTTGTGAGTATGGCCAGGCATAACGTAAGCTTGTAAAAGTATATTTAATTTAACTTTTTTTTTCTTGCTGCCTGCTCTTTGCATGGCTATTTTTGTATTTTGTTTCACTTTGGTGTTTTCACATAAAGTGTATTAAATTATCGAATGCATATACATATGTACATATGTTTGTGTGAGTATTTGGGGCGTTAGCGCAAACTCTCGGAACTAACTTTTTTTCAAAACAAACGCACATCCTGGTCTGAACAAAGTTTATCGCACAGCGTGATGTTACCAGATTGGTGATATAGGAGATTACTTCAAATTT